GAAACATGTCTGGAACAGTCGGAGTGAATGTCTCCGTGAAAAAGGGATACTCCCCGTGGTGAGGGGACAGGAGGTCACCATTTGTAAAATGGACACGGACGTGGATGGCCAAATGCATTCATTGCCCAAAGAAGGAAACGAGTTTGATGCCAGACAGCCAAAAACAGCTGTCAGAGTTCCTCCGTTTCAGGATGCAATGATGTCTAAAAAACCAAAAAAAAGGAAAGGCACTCCAGTTGAGAAATGTACCCTACCGAAGCTTTCTCAATGGAAAATGGTTTCCCGCCCATACCAAAAGGGCCAAAGCATACTACAAAACGGATTTCACGTCAAAGAAAAATTCTACAAAATGACAAAATCCAATAGGTTATTCTCGTGGATTTCGGTACCATTAGATCGCAATACATCAACGACAGAGCTCCGTCCCACCATGCCACACGTGATAGAAAGCTCAGCGTTGAGAAAACTCAACGCTGTAGGTGGGACCAGACCCCTGGTACCCAAGTGAACCTGTGTTGTTGAGAAAACTCAACGCGGAGTTTTCTCTGTCTCTTATACACATCTATATGTGTATAAGAGACAGCTCTCTCTCTCTCTCTCTCTCTCTCTCTCTCTCTCTCTCTCTCTCTCTACTTGAAATTCTTGACTCTGAATACATCCGCTGCTACTCAGCTCTATCCCTACTAAAAACTTATACGGCTATGGCAGCCTTCCCTCTCAGTGCAGCGCTGCCCAGCAGGGCTCTCGCGCGCATGCTACTCGCAGATAGCGCACAAGCGCTTCAGCAGCATTTCCACACCTCTCACGAATGAGCAATCTCCCCTGAAATGTGGCTGGCCAGTCCTTATATTGACTTGGACTGAGCCTCAACTCGTCCCAGCCTCTGCTTCCTTTGGCTTGACTTGGACCAGGTACCACATGCCCACGGCCTGCTTGCTTCAGAATGTCAAGGCCTGGTACTTTTCCCGAATTTTCATTGGTGTGCTGCTGCTTGAGTCTGTGAGTCGCGACTCTTCATCTGTGGAACATGACTTTTGACTGTGGGATGCGACTCTTGCCTCTGGGACACGACTTTTGCCTGGAGAAGTGTCCTTTGCCTGTGGGACATGACTTTTCAATATGAGACGTGACTTTTGCTTACAGAATGCAACTTTTGCTTTTGGGATGTGACTGACTCCTAAGGTACCCGACTGTGACTTTTCTGAAACTGACCGACTTGGCCTCCCTTGGCCTGAGACCTTGACCCTGGAATTCGAATTTGGGGTCTGCATCGTGGAGTGCCTTTCACACCAGTCCCTTGCGGCAGGTTGACTCCAAGACGAACAACATGGTTGGGAGTCAGAAAAAGCAACACGTGCACACAACCAGCTGACCGATCAAATTTTAAACCACTAGCACCTTTATTTTGTTCCGACGTGGCGGTTAACCCGCCGCATTAACCGGGCCTCGACCTACCCATAGGAAAAAGCTGTCAACGACAGGCAAAAAGACAATACTTTGCGCCCGCACCACTTCATTTCTTTTTGCCCCGCAGCAGAAGTCCAGGTTTGGAAAAAGTGCCTCAGAGCATCTGGTGTTTAACACTAATTTTGTATTCAGTTGAGAATGCCTTTTGGCCAGTGTCATACAAGCCGTAAGATACTGGGCACGTATATGACTCCCTTCATGCTATGTTATAACTTTTAGTTATGACAATCATTTTTAAAACGAGAGAGACAGAGAGAAATGGTGACACACACACACACACACACACACACACACACACACACACACACACACACACACACACAGATGGAGAGAAGTTGTGGAAAGAAAATAGAGCGCCATAAAAGCACCCAGCTCGAATTTTGGATGCATCACTGAATACAAGTGGAGCACAAGAGATAAACAAAAAGGGCCTGAAATGGATCAGAGTTGACCAACCGATTCAGACAGAATGAACAAATCATTGGAATCCTAAAAAAGAAATAAACAAAAATTAACTAATTAATTAACTAGGCTACCAGCCGGGCCGCCCGGGTCACATTGTTTGCCCGGGCGGCCCGGCCGTGCCAGGACCAAAGGAAAGTCCCAGCAAAAAAAAAAAAAAAAAAAAAAAAAAAAAAAAAAAAAAA